CGGAAGATAAAGGCTTTCCCAGGTCAGGATGAATTTTCTAACAAGAGATGTTGGTGAAAATTGGGAGTAGGTGTGTGGAGGCAGCTCCTGGGTGTTAGTTCCTGGCAGTACAATGCCTGCTTTGCTTAGATGAAGGAAAAGAGAAGCTTCAGAGTAGTAATAGGACAAAAGCTGAGCTAGATGGCTTCCCACTGGGGAGGGAATGTCCCTGTATGGCAGCTCCTTACTGGGACTCCTCTGCTTCAGGCTTTCCAAAGGGAGCCCTGAGGGTCTTCTTACTGCTTGTGGGGAATCATGGCATAAGTGCCTATGCATGAGGGTCAGCCAGGCTCCCCTTGTAGTTCCTGGAGACCTCACCAGTACATCCAGCATTTTTTTAAGCTGTCCTCTTGTCCTGAGCTGTTCCAGGAAAGTTAATTTTATGCTTTGAGGCCTTTGTGTCCTGCTACTTGGATGGACTTAGAATATTGGAATCCCAGGATGGTTTGGGTTAAGAGACCTTAAAACTCATCTCATTCAACCCCCTGCCATGGGCAAGGACACCTTCCACTAGCCCAGGTTGCTCCAAGCCCCATCCAACGTGGCCTTGAACACTTCCAGGGATGGAGCAGCCGCAACCTCTTTGGGTGAGGTTTGGACTTTGGGTGACACAGACCTGTTTCTGCACCATGTGAAGTCTCCCAGACTTGTGTCACTGGGTTTGCAAAGCAGTGCAGGCAGTTACCTGACTCCTCACACAGCGACACATGTGGGATGGGGCCTGGAGAAATGGCAGGTACTGGTGGTGTACCCATCTCCACCTGCCTGTTGCCATGGGGAACACCTTCTGCCCACAGGACAGACAGCCAAGGCTGTTCCTTTTGGATTTCTCTCCCTTGCAGCATCCAGGTGTTCCACTGCCTGAAGCACGAGGGCACGGGCGGGCGGACACTGCTGGTAGACGGTTTCCATGCGGCGGAACAGGTGCTGCGCAAAGCCCCAGAGCAGTTCGAGCTGCTCTGCAAGGTGCCCCTCAAGCATGAGTATGTGGAGAATGTGGGAGATTGCCACAACCACATGATCGGAGTGGGGCCAGTTCTCAATGTCTATCCCTGGAACAACGAGCTTTACCTGATCAGGTAACCCATGGGAGACCTCTTGCTTATGAGGAGGAGTGGGGGTTGTGGAAGTGGTTTTCCAGTAGATACTGTGAACTCAAAACCAGTGTATTTTTGAGGGGCAGGGATGAAACCCTGGGAACACCCTGTGTTCATCCCTAGCTGTGCGTTCCTGCTTTAGAGGAAGCATCAGAGCTGCTGATACAGAGATGGGTGTGAGTGCTGAGCTCGGGTTTTCCAATCCTGGCATCCTCCCTTCAGGTCCATGCCCTCATCCCACTCCATTTGAGAGGCAACAGAATTCAGCTGTTCTCTGGATAAGCCTCTAGAAACTATCCTGGCATGCAGGGAATAGGAAGAGTGCAGACTAGTCCCTTCTAAAGGAAATTTGGGCTGGATTTTGAAACTCCAACTTGGCTCAGTGCTGGAGGCTGTCTAGCACTGCTTTGCACTTTTATTCTGAACAGCCCTCAGTGTCACCATGTCCTTCCAGGGAAAACCAGGAGGAACAGATTTACACTCAGCAGTGAACTCCTCTTACTCCCAATGTTGTGTATTCCCTGAAAGTCCTGCACTTGCAGCATAACCTCCCTGGTCATCTCTGCAGCCTCCCTTGAAAAAACTGACTAATCCTGCAGGCTCCCAAGGTTCCAGTGGAAACACCTGGAGCCATGTGGGCAGTCTCTTTCATCTTCTTTCCATGTAGGTACAATAACTATGACCGTGCTGTCATCAACACAGTGCCATACGACGTGGTGCACCGCTGGTACCACGCTCACCGCACACTCACCACCGAGCTCAGGAGGCCTGAGAACGAACTGTGGGTCAAGCTGAAGCCAGGCAAGGTGGGACTTGGAGCTGGATTGTGTGAGTTTGTTACAGGGAGGGAGGCAGGTGCTCCCTTGGTTTGCAGGTGCCTTGCCACTGAGGTAAAAGCTCCACACAGAGCAGTTTTCCTCTCTACAGCTGCATTATGGTGCCCTGTGTTACAATCATGGCCTCTGTGTGTGTTTCTGCTGACCTAAAGAAATGTAAGCTTTCAGGTAAGGCAGAGACCTTTAGTTCAAGCTCTGCCTCAGAGGAAGGTTAGTCTCAGCTAGGGAAGAGGAGGAAGGTCTTTATAGTTACTGAAATGAAGACCCTTGGAAGCAGAGAGTTTGGGAACACTGTATGTCCAGTCTTTCACTTCTTCCAGAAGAAAAGTTTATTTTGATGAAACTCTAAATTACTGTTCTGAGCTTATACTTGAGCCCTTACATGGGTAAGTGACATTGCAGAGGCAGGAGGTTGTAGCTGCCCCATCTCTGGAAGTGTTCCAGGCCAGGTTGAATGGGACTTGGAGCAACCTGGTCTAGTGGAAGGTGTTCCTACCCATGGCAGGGGGTGGAATGGGATGGGCTGTGAGGTCACTTCCAACCCACAGCATTCTGGGATTCCAAGATGGCCACTGGCTATTCCAGGTGAACTATTGCCCAAGCTCTCCAGTAGAAAAGCAGAGAAACAGCTGAGAATGTTTCTGTGCTTTTCTACCTGTCACCTTTTAGCACAGCTCCTGGCTCCATGTGAAACAGCTGTGCTGGATCACATGGAAGACCTGGCTGTGCCCTCACCTGTTGTCACAGTGTTGAATAAGAAGGTCGTGCCCACCCTGGCACACCCTTACCTGCTCATCCAGTCTCCAGGGATCTCCAGGACCTGTACTGCCAGAGGGTTCTGGCCCTGCCTGCCATGGTTGTGCTCCTTCTCATGACCTTTTTCCTTTCCTGCAGGCCCTGTTTGTGGATAACTGGCGTGTCCTACATGGCCGGGAAGCGTTCACAGGGTACCGGCAGCTCTGTGGGTGCTACTTGACAAGGGATGATGTGCTGAACACTGCCCGTCTGCTGGGGCTCCAGGCTTAGCCCAGCCCTCTGGGAGAGTCAGCACTCCCAATCCTTAGGGGGGCAGATGTGCTGATGCTCACCATGTGCTCCAAGCCCACCATGCTGGTTCCTCACCACAACAAAGACATTGCACATACCTCAGACACCTCCACCCTCTCCAAGCAACTTCTGGTGCCTGCTCAAGAGAGGGAGCAGGTGAAAGCCAAAGGTTGTGGGACCTTTATGAGAGCTTTTGTGGGACCACATTCTGCCTTTGAACATGGTCAGCTCTTGCTCTCCATGCTCCCAGCCTGGGCTTTCCAGCCAGTTGGTGTGGCTCAGCTCTGGTTAATCTCCCACCACGGGAAGTGCTCCTCCAAGCAAGTGCCTTCAGGATTTCGAAGTGTTGCATTATTTCCTGTTCAACCATTTCTTTCAGCTGGCAATTTTACTGGGTTTTTTAGCAGAGCAAAATGGAAATATTTTTGTAATCCTATATCTTGTCACTGATCCAAGCCGTGCTGCCTGAGAGGGAGCCTAGAAAGATCCTAGTGTACTTTGGGCATTTTTGAGGATCTTTAGGTTAGAGAAGGAAAAGGGAAGCAGCAAGATCAGCATGTTGAGAAGCAGAGATGACTGGGTTAGATGAGGGATGGATTTCCCACTTTTCCTTGACTTTCAGTACTGCCTGCGGCACTGCACTTGCATCGAGGGTGATGCCCAGCAGCCACAGTATTTGTTAACAAGCTTCCCACTGTGCCTCCTCTTCCATCCTTTCTTAAGGAATTTGTGTGAGGTCATCATCACACTGCCTTCTGCATGAGCCTGGCCATTTGGGTATGTTTTTTCCCTAAATTCTCCTCTCTGAAGGTAACTCCAAGGTGCCTTTCAGCTTCCTGGAGCAGGGAGGGTAAATTGGGATCTGGCACATGATAGGGCCACAGGATTTGAAAGCAAATCCTGGTGTTACAGAAACACTGGAATTTTAGAACCAAGAGGCCATTTTAGGATTTGCTTATTTTTCATTCTTCCGTATCTTTTGGGGTGTTCCATCTGCTCTGTCTGACCAGACCTCAAAGCAGAGCTGGGTCCCTTCTTTCCTGGCTTTCCTGTGCCAGGTGCTCCATGGCCACAGTGCAGGGGCAGTGCAGGTGCACAGATGCTAACCTTGCTGTCCTCATTTAATCTAAACATTGAATGTATAGGTCCTGGTGTTGAGACATTCCTGAAAGCTGCTCTTGGTGTGGTCCGAGCTCCCTGATTCTTCCAGTCTGTGTTCCCTTCCCAGTGCTTCCTGTCTACAGTTGGCCAGTGGGAGCTGGGAGTCATCAGGAGCTCAAAGAATTTCTGAGCCAAGACTGGGCAGGAAGCTGCTGGTCAGGGGATGTGTGAGGGAGTGAGAGGTGAGCAGTGCTGGCAGGTAGTACCAGGTGAGCTGCATTGTATCAGGTACATCTCCATCGGCAGCCTCAGGCACAAGCAGGAGCTTGGATTTCCCTCCGGGTGGAGCCAGTGCATTCCTTGCTCAGCCTGCAGAGTAGACTCTTGTACTTCGTGTTTATGGCTTCCCTGTAGATGCCAGTGACACCTGCACAACTGAGAGGTGAGTTTTACAACTCTTCATTAATCATGTGGAAGCAGCAAACCACTGTGGAGATACGTGGTGTCCCTCACCCTGCACAGCTCCATGCTCCAGGACTGCTGATGCTGGCGGAAGAGTTGGTGACAAAAAGCAGTCTGTTACTTGACAAAGGAGGGGACAAAGAGTTCCTGATAAGTATTTGGATCCCTCTTTAAATTATTTGAGGGTATTGAGGGTTCCTGAGCTATTCATGCCTCCCTGTGCCCCTGGGATCTGAGGGAAACACTGATAGCATGGAACCTTCCCTAGCTTAGGGGAGCTCCATCTTTCTCAGCTGCAGGCTCAAAATCTGCTTCTACCCCAGGGCTGGACAAGGGAGACCCCCACCAAAGGTTACTGATGACATTGTCATGACAGAGGTGCCTTTGTGACAAGAAATGTGGTGACTGTAGCTGCCTTGCTTCACACCAACCCCTTCCAAGCCAAGCCCCTCCTCACAGGGACCGTGTGACCTGTTTTGGGGGAAATTATTCCCCGTGAATGTATATTTCCTCATAAATCATTTACCCACTCCAGTGATAAGTGGGGAGGGGGGAGAGCTGTGTTTCCATCTTGTTTCACCTTTCCCCACTTCCCAGCAGGGCTAAATTCTTCCTGGGCAGTTTTATGAGCATCAAAACCTTTTGTGAAGGAGCAGGATGTGGTGGCAGGTACCACCTGTGCCATGCAGGTGTTTGCTGGGCCATGTTCAGAGCAGTGCTGTCGTCGCAGGGTTTGTAATCCAGCTTTTCCAGTGCTTTCAGCCAATACATGAACTGCTTTTCTCCTTCCCACCACCCTGGGGATCCAGTGTAAATGTTTAAGACTTTTCCAAAACTAAGAAATCAAGTCTTCAAATAAATCATTTATAAAATCATCAGCTTAACTAAATCTCTATTTTAAGCACTGATGAACTTGAAGCTAAGTCTGGTTTACCCAACAAGGGGGGAATGCACGTGGGGAGCAGTAACCCAGTAC